AAGAGCAAAGCACTTTTTAAAATACATTGAGGGAGGTAGAGCCACGATGGTGAAGTAGCAGGAAGAAAAAGACAGCAAGCTACCCACCACACATACATACACACAGAACTTCAAACTGATCTTGAAAATGGATCAGACCAAATCCTGGTGGGGATATCCAGGAAAAATGTGGAAGGAGACAGGTAGATAGAAAAGTCTGCAGTCCTTGGGAACAGGGTCTGTCCAGGGGCCTTCCACATGGAATATTTCAGTGCCCTGGGACTGAAGCTGAGCCTAAGGGCAAAGAAAGGTCCCAGATCTATACCAGGATATCACAACCTTGTACAGGGCATGGGAACAGGTACCAATTGACAGCTTGGTCATTTACTATTGAGACACAAATCCTGGACAAACTGAGACGAGAACCTGTGTCAGGACTAGTATTGTAAAGTAAGGAGTAGTCACAGGCCCTGGCTGTATACAAGAGAGGAGCAAGTTCAAAAGCAAGCAGCAGTATGGCTCAGACTCTAGGAGCAGACCAGGGTCTCATTTCTAACTTCTAGCCTAATCTGAAGGGGCAACTAGGTGGCAGCAGTGGATAGAGTACTGGACTTGGAGTCAAGAATACTCACCATCCTGAGTTCAAATCCAGTCTCAGACACTTAGTAGCTGTATGATGCTAAGCAAGTTACTTAACCCTTTTTCCTTCAGTTTCCTCATCTCTAAATGAGCTGGAGAAGAAATAGCAAACCACTCCAATATCTCTGCCAGTTGGGTCATTAAGAGTCAGACATGACTGAAAACCAACTGAACAACAACAAGCCTAATCTGAAGCCTGCACAGGGATAACCAAGGTAGAAATCCCAGACCAAAGAAAAGCCTACAGTTTTATTATTCTGAACTAGCAGAGCTTTCCAGTTTTGTGATAGCAGCTGAGTCTGTCCAGCAGCATTATAATGAAAATCCAAAGGAGACAAGTCCATAGGCCTGTTGCTCATTCTCAAAACCAGGTGAGGAACTTGCAGAGCTCAGACCTAGGGCAGGTAGTATGTTAGAGTTGCCCTGTATCAGCCTACTTTGGGAGTACAGAAAGGTTGCAGGGCCTCCAATCTGAGCTGTCCCTGAAATCATGCAATAATACAACACTTAATACCCCCAAGAAAGCACCAGCAGGACCAGCCCAGACATTCTCTCCAGAAGTGCACAGGGTGTAGGCTAGAAGAATGAGCAAACAAAAAAAGAAGCTTACCATAAAAAGCTATTATGGTGACAGGGACACTCAAATCACACCCAGAAGAAGAGCATGGCTTCAAAATATCTACAAGTAAATCCTCAAAGTGAAATATAGCTTGAGTACAAATTCAGTTAGATTATTGGAAGGAATGAAGTAAAAGTGAAGTCAGAGCACCAAAAAAAAAAAAGTAAAGAAATGAGAACTATGGAAGAAAAAAAATTGAAAAGGGAATTAACAAAGGTGACAGACACTGTGCAAGCAACAAACTCCCTGAAAATTAGAATGGACCAGATAGAAAATAATGCCTTCATGAGATAAGAAACATTAAAATAAAGTCAAAAAACTGAAGCAAATAGAAGAAAATTTAAGGTTTCTAATAGCAAAAACAACTGCCCTGGAAAACAGATAGCGGGGGGAAAAAATCTGAGGATCTTTGGATTACCTGAAATCAGTGAGCAAAAAAAAAGAGTCTAGCCATCATGGTTCAAAAGAAATCATAAAAGAAAACTGACCAGACCTCTTACGACAAGAGGACAAAGTGAAAATAGAAAGACCTCTCTTTTTACTTCTTGAGAAAAAAAATGCCAAAATGAAACTCCTAGGAGCTTCATAACCTAAATCCAGAGTTTCCATGTAAATGAAAAAATATTGCACATGGCCAGAAAGAAAGAATTCAAGTACTGAGGAACCACAGTCACAATCACACACAATTTAGCAGCCAGCATTATAATGCAGCAAAGAGGTTGCAATACAGCATTAAAGAAGGCAAAGGATATGGGCTTATAGTCAAGAATAACTTACCCAGAAAAACCAGAATATAATTTTGCAGGCAGGGGTTGGGATAGGAGAATGTACCATTAATGAAATTGAGGACTTCCAAGCATTACTATGAAAAGACCAGAACTTCTTAGAAACTTTGAATTGCAAACAAAGGAATCAAGAGAAACATGAGAAGGTTGACGTAAATGAACAATCACAAGGGACTAAACAAGGATAAACTGGTTGCATTCTAATATGGGAAAATTTTACATGTAACTCTATTATTATTAGAATTCATATGAATCTATTAGCAGAAAACCTGAGTGAGATTTTGTTAATATGTCTTTTTATTGGATCCACGTTCTCTCCTTTCCTCCTGAGTCCTGTCCTGTGTTTGAGAAAGCAAGAAAAAGAAAACCCTTGTAACAAACACATTATAGTCAAGCAAAACAAATTCCCCCATTGGCCATGTCCAGAGAAAACCATGGGTTCAATTATGTCTTGATGATAATAAAAGAAGAATAGAAAGGGAGTGGAGAATACACCAAGGATAGAGGACAAGAATGGTCAGAAAGAGAACATTATGGAAAATGATCACACATAATCAAAACGTACAAGTAGAAGTCCATACAAATAAGGAGGAAGAATTTGAATGAATGACATATGAAACTCACTCTTACGTGAACAGATCAGAGGAGGGAAGAAAATAATCACACACAAAGTTGTGTACAGAAATACATTACACTCAGCAGGGAAATAGGGAAAGGAGAGAATAGAGAAGGTAGATTAAGGGAGGTATTGGTCCTAAGCTTAAAGAAACTCTAAGGATGTACAAAAGTATTTATAACTAACTTTTTGCAGTGGCAAAGATTTGGAAGCTGGGAGTGCCCATCATTTGGGGAATGGTTGAATTTATGGTATATAAAGGGACGTATTTTTGTGCTGTAAGTAGTGATTCAGGGAGTGATTTCAGAAAAACCTGGGAAGACTTGTATGAATTGATACAGAGTGAAGTGAGCAGAACTGGGAATGGTTTATACAAAGACAATATTATGAAGTCAAACAGCTTTGAAAAACTTAAGAACTCTGATCGTTATAATGACCAGCCAGGATTCTAGAGGTCTAATGATGAAATATGCTACCTACCTCCTGATAGAGAGAAGAATCAAAGTGCAAAATAAAGACTTTTTTCCCTGTGAGGAATTTTGTTTTGCTATACATGTTTGTAACAGGTGTTTTGATTTCTTTTTCTTTTGGGGAGTAGGGGGAGGCTTATTCCTTGGGGGAAAAAAATTTTAAAAACGTTAGAGTAAACTGAATGTCTTAGTTTGAGCTTTTTTATAGATGTGGATTTATGTGATCCCTATAAATTTTCTCAGTGTGTATATGTGTGACAGCATACTGCTTATCTTGTAATATGTTAAAGTAGATTAAGAAATAGATAGGAAGTCAGATGAATTTTCCAGTCTATTTCAGTTAAGGCTAGTATCATTGTATTATCAATAGTCCTTGTTGAACTCTTTGATTCTAGTACAAAATATTTCTTTCTACTAGCTGCCCTAAAAATGAGCCTGAAGAAATTGCTCAGGTATTTTTCCCTCCTGTCTGTATAAAAGATCAGGATAAAGATAATTATTCTGACTGATCACTTAATCAACAGGTATTTATTTAAATGCCTTATATTTGCCAGGCACTGTGCTTTGTTTACTAAGCCACTGGAATATCAGTTTATCATTTTCTCTGGTTTTGTTTCCCAGTTTTATGATTTTTTTCTCCTCTTTCCAAAATACCATTAAATATACAATTCCCACTTTAAGTTCTTTCCATGCCTTTGCTAATATGCAAGATTTAAGCTATTGAACTCTAATATGCAGGTGTCATGTTACATTTCTTTTGAGTCAGTCAAAATATAGAAGAGATAATGAGCTTTTATATATTTGCAGTGATGATCTATGAACTGAAGGATTCCACTTGGCTTCATTTTGGTTCATTTCAGTGAAAAGCTACAGAGGCACATGATGGAATGAGAGGCAGACAATATAATATATTGGAAAAAATGCTACTCTGGAAAACAGGGCGCCTGGATTTGAGTTCTGGTCCCTTTACTTGCTAGTTTTTGTGACCTTGGGCAGGGGTTAAATAGCATTTAACTTCTCTGAGCTTCAGAGATAATACTGCCATGACTTTCATCAGAGAGTCATTGTGAGGAAAGCATTTTGTAAAGTCTAAAGCTATTCAGCCACCTCCATTGGCTTCCTTTTGCCTCTGAGATAAAATATAAACTACTCAGTTTAGCTTTTCAAGCCCTATACAACTTGGCCCTAACTTATTTCTCCAGCCTTGTTGGGTGTTACTCCCTCTCCTGTTATCTGAGATCTAGCCAAACTGGCTCTGTTCCTCACACACATGACATTTATTTCATCTTCTTGCCTTTTCACTGGCCATTTCCTCCTTAGTTCCACCTTTCTCATCCTTTAAAATGCAGCTCAGGTACCATCTTCTTCGTGACAATTTTCCTGATTTTTTCACCAAACACTAGTACCCTCCCTGCCAGACTACCTTGCATTATAATAATATATGTATTAAGTCACTAGATAGATATAAATATAAAATATATATATATATGCTATATATAGTTTAAAAACTACTTATTGTCTGTGTCATTAGAATGTAAGTTCACTTCCCATAGAGATTGTTTGATTCTTTGTACTTGTATCCCCAGCAGCTAGTACAGTGCTTGGTATATAGTAGGTACTTAATAAATACATGTTGATTGGTTGTTATATAAATGTGAACGATAGGAAAGCCAGTTAGAGTAGAATTTGGTAAAGAAATCATAAGTAATGCCTCATCCTTATTCTGATCATGCATAATTGTATAGATTTGTGTTAATTATATTTTTAAAAGAAAAATAATTTGTGATAATATCTCTTATTCTGCTTCATAGACAAACTTCATATTCTTTGAAAACCATCATTTGTATATGCCTTTAAATAGTTGTCATCTTCTCCACCTTACTCTGTTTTAGTCCGAAGGAGAGTCTTCCTCCAAAACCTATGAAGAAGGAGAAGGAACAAAGAACTCGACATTTGCTCATGGACCTTCCTCTTCCTCCAGAGCTCCCCGGTGGTGATCCATCTCCCCCAGATTCTCCAGAACCAAAGGCTGTCACCCCCCCTCAGCAACCATATAAGAAGAGACCAAAGTAAGTTTTTTCAGGGAATACACATCTCTGTTTTTGTCTTAGTTTTGACCGTGTTACTCAGTCAACTCCAGTGGATTCATATTGCTGGAAGTGTCGAATATAAACTCCTTTGTTTAGCTTTTAAAATCTTCCCAGCCTCATTGTGTACATGAGACTAGAAACTCTTCAAGGTCATATTGGCCTTCTCTCTGTTCTTCCTAACTCCATCTCCTTTCTCTATACTCTTGCATTAATTGTTCCCCATGCCTGGAAAATACTCACTTTTTCTCTGCCTCATAGAATACCTCTTTTCCTTCAAGATGCAACTTAAGCACTGCCTTCTTTGTGAAGCATTTCCTGACCCCCTTAACTACCAATGTTCTCCTACCCAAGCTAACCTGTATTTAACTAGTTTGTATTTTATTTATATTCTATATATGCTTATGTATGATCTTGTCTCCCTGGTTATATTGTAAGCACCTTGTTGTTAGGGGTTATTTATTTATTTTATTTGTATCTCCAGAACCTAGCACAGTGCTAAGCACATAGAATTTTAATAAATGTTTGTTGATTGATTGATTCCTGTGCCATCCAGACCAAGCCAATAGAATTATCTATCAATATTTATTAAATACCTATTGTATATGTAACAATTGATTAAAACTCTGGTGAAGATAGAGAATAAGAATTAATCCCTACTGACTAGTTTCTTTTGTTTTTCCCTACTGACTAGTTTTAAGCCCTTTCTGAAATATTTATAATAGACCTGGCAAACTATACTCACAATTTTTGTTCCTTTCTACTTGTGTCATGTAGTTTTTGAAAAATCGACCATTTCTCAGGTTTATAGCCAACTCATTCATCCTTTTGTGTTTGTTAGGTTAGGAATACTTTTAGTCTTGAGATAAAACAAGCCTTTTTGATCAGGGTGACCAGTATAACATATAGACTAATGAAAGAATAATAAACAAGGGAACTGGCCTCTGGAATTATTAAAAACTCCCTATTATTATTAATATTATTATAATTATTATTTTGCAATACAAATTTAGTTTGGTAGTTTCCATACGACCCTGATTTTTTAAAAAATTAATTTGTTTTTAGTTTTCAGTATTCACTTCCATAAGCTTTTGAGTTTTACATTTTCTCTCCCTCTCTCTCCACCTCCCTCCCCAAGATGGTGTGCAATCTGATATAGGCTCTGCATATACATTCCTATTAAACATATTTTCACATTAGTCATGTTGTAAAGAATTAGAACCAATAGTAGGAGCCACAAGAAAGAACAAACAAAACAAAACAGAGGGAAAAAAAAGAACAAATACTATACTTCAATCTACATTTAAACTCCATAGTTCTTTCTTTGGATGTGGATAGCATTTTCCAGCATGAGACTTTTGGAGATGTCTTAGATCCTTGCATTGCTGAAAAGAGCTAAGTCTATCAAAGTTAGTCATCGCACAACATGGCTGTTACTGTGTATAATATTCTCCTGGTTTTGCTCACTTCACGCAGCATCAGTCCATACAAGTCTTTCCAGGTTTTTCTGAAGTCTGCCTGCTCATAATTTCTTATAGTATGATAGTATTCCATTACATTCATATACCACAACTTGTTCGGCCATTCCCCAGTTGATGGGCATCCCCTCAATTTCCAATTCTTTGCTACCACAGAAAGAGCTACTATAAATATTTTTGTACATGTAGGTCCTTTTCCCATTTTTATGATGTCTTTGGGATACAGCCCTACAAGTGGTATTATAGGGTCAAAAGGTGTGCACATTTTTATAGTCCTTTGGGCATAGTTCCAAATTGCTCCCCAAAATGGTTGGATCATTTAAAACTCTACCAATATTGCATTAATGTTCCAATTTTTCCACATCTTCTCCAACATTTATAATTTTCCTGTTTTGTCATATTAGCCAATCTGATAGGTGTGATGTGGTATCTCAGAGTTGTTTTGATTTGCATTTCTCTACTCGGTAGTGATTTAGAGCATTTTTTCATGTGACTATAGATAGCTTTAATTTCTTCATCTGAAAACTGCCTGTTCATATCCTTTGACCATTTATCAGTTGGGGAATGAGTTGTATTCTTATAAATTTGACTCCGTTCCCTATATATTTTAGAAATGAGGCATTTATCAGAGACACTGGTTGCAAAAATTCTTTTCCAGTTTTCTGCTTCCCTCCTAATCTTGGTTGCATTGGCTTTGTTTATACAAAAACTTTTCAACTTAATGTAATCAAAATTATCCATTTTGCATTTCATAATATTCTCTATCTCTTGTTTGGTTATAAATTCTGTTCTCCATAAACCTGACAAATAGACCATTCCTTGCTCTTCCAGTTTGCTTATTCTATCAGCCTTTATGTCTAAATTACCACCCAGATTTTTTTTCTGTGCCCTTCTGAATTTCCTTCTCTATTATGTATTTTTGAAATATTTCAGTGACATTTTTTTATTATCAATATCCCCACTTTCTACTTCACATAACTTTCTCTGACTTCCTCCTCCAAATAAAAATCTGCATTTGTAACACATACATATAGAACTTTATAACACTTACAAGGAAACTTAATTATGAGTGAAGGCTTTTATTAGAATGAGGAGTAATGATAATGATGAAAAAGAAAAGAAAGAAGAATACCATTGAAACATTTAAAAATACAAGGAAGAAAGCAGAAGAAAGTTCAGTAGGGGATACAGACAAACTAGGGTAGTGTTGGTATTATATGTTTAATATCAGTTTTGAAATAGTAATATATAATTTTTCATAAGAAAAGCATAGTCAAGTAAAACAGATCCACATATTAGTGGTATCTGGAAAATGTAAGTGTCATTCCGTCTCTCTATTCCAGCAGGTCTTAACTTTCTTTGCGCGTGTCATATACCTCTTGGGCAGTCTAGTGAAGCCTATGGACCCCCTCTCATAAGAATATGTTTAAATGCATCAAATAAAATACAGAGGATTAGAAAGGAAATCAATTATATTGAAGTAGAGTTATAAAAATAGTAATAAAACACATTTAGGGTTTAGAGCTTCTTCTCTAGTCAAGAGAGTATTTCTACTCTTGCCAAAAGGTAGAAAAACATGTATTTATCATAAGGTTATGACTGGTTGTTGTATTGATCAGCATTCTTAAATTTTTCATGATTGTTTTCCTTCACAATGTTGTGGTCATTGTATGAATTGTTCTCCTCATTCTTCTCCTGTCACTATCAGTTCACACAGGTTCTTCCAGTTTTCTCTGAATCTGACTCTTTTATTATTTCTTATGGGCAATAATATTATTACATTCATATGCCATAATTTGTTCAGGCATTCTTCAGTCAACTACTTTGTTTTTAGTTTTATGCTACAACAAAAAGTATCAGCAATTTCTTTTAAGATGTAGTTGAATCAGTGAATTAGGACATATCATATATTAAAGCTCTATCACTTGTCATTTTTTACATTGACTAGACAAAACATTTCTATAATCTTAAGAACAATCTTGCATAGGGGAGGGTCAGAAAGCACAGTGTTTTATTTAGGTTTTCTGTAAAAATGTATAAAAGGAACAGTGAGTTAGCATTTCTTTTTTTTCAGTGAAAGTGTTTTATTTTTTAAAAAAGTTTTCTTGCTTATAGAATCTGTTGCCCACGTTATGGGGAAAGGAGACAAACAGAAAGTGATTGGGGCAAGCGCTGCGTGGACAAGTTTGACATAATTGGAATTATTGGGGAAGGAACATATGGACAAGTATACAAAGCCAAGGACAAAGACACAGGTAAAACACCACCGTACCAAACCTCTGGTTTATATTAAGAGCATTTTTGTTAGTAACGAGGGTGCTGCTAGAGCTGAATAAAACGTAAGCATTTTGGATTTTTAAAAAATTGCCATGGTGACAGTGACACTGTCTTAAAGGATCAGCTCTTGGACTTACTCAGCCTTTTTTTTTTAATTAAATGTACTTATTTATTTAATTTTAGTTTTCAGCATCCACTTTTATAAGATTTTGAGTTCTAAATTTTTCCTGTTCCTTCCCATGATTTTGAGTTCTAAATTTTTCCCACTTCCTCCCATCTCCACTCCCCAAGATGGCATGCAATTTGATATAGGCTATACATGTGCAATCATATTAAGCATATTCCACTTCACTCATGTTGTGAAAGAAGAATCAGAACAAAAGGGAAGAACCATGAGAAAGAAGAAAAAAAAGAGAGAAAAAACAGTATGCTTCAGTTAGCATTCAGACCCCATGGTTCTTTCTCTGGATGTGGATAGCATTTTCCATCATGAGTCTTTTGGAATTTTCTTAGATCATTGCATTGCTAAGAAGAGCTGTGGACTTATTAAACTTAATAACTGTACTTTTAGTTTTGTGTTGCTATTCATACTAAGATAGTAAATAAAGAGAGACTTAATGGCTCCAAAAGCATGGAGTTAACTTTTATTTAGGGGCTAAAAATGGTCTATTGTAGATTTTCTAATCTCTTTATTTTGAAGTTGAAATGAAGTATTTGAATTATTGATACTTTTCATTTTTCCATTCTGTTTTTTTCCTAGTCTTATCTAGCAAGTAGAATCAAGAATTATCTAAGTCTTAGAAATCATTAATTAAATGCAAGGTTAGGTATAGCAACATAAACAGGAAAATGTATTCATTTGGTATATAAAATCTTTGAGGGTAAGTATTATACATTCTTAAATCATATAAAATACCTAGTATGTTACTTTGCTTTTGGTGATGTTCAGTGTGTTACTTGATAATGGCCTGATAAAGGTGGATTTTGTTTTTGCAGGAGAGCTAGTAGCCCTAAAGAAGGTGCGACTAGACAATGAGAAAGAGGGCTTCCCAATCACAGCCATTCGTGAGATCAAAATTCTTCGACAGCTGATCCACCGGAGTGTTGTTAATATGAAGGAAATTGTCACAGATAAACAAGATGCACTGGATTTCAAGAAGGACAAAGGTAGTTAGCATAAGAATGTGTAAACATAGCAGAATAATTTAGAATTATCCTTTACCTAGCTTGGTATTGGCATGTTTTGACTAACTCTTAATTTAATGTGCTAGCTTTGTGCATATACAAATGAAGATGATTATTTTGGGCTGAGAGAAACTTATTTAATAAAATGCCCATTCTGCTTCATTTTCTGCTTTATTTATAGAAATCATTGGTAGTCATTGCCTTATGGTCTTTGCAACAGTCTCCTACCTATAGAGTTTACTACTTCTGGTAGTAGGTAAAAGGCATGGGACTATCCACTTTCTACCAGTCATAAGTTTACGATGGGTACTTTCAAAATGCAACACCTTAATGCCAAACCAGAAGAGTTTGTGTCTAGAATTATGGCTTTTGTCACTATTTTATGGATTGAATTTTCATCTTATCCTCCCTTATTTTTGAAGTGGCCTTTTACATTGTCCAGCATTCCTTTTGTCATTCTTTCAAAGCTGACTTGGAATGGGTTCAGAGGACATCTAAAATGATGAAGGGGATTTGGAGCTGGGGGAATGGAATAGAAAGACAGAGAACCAAAGGTGGCTTATGTTTTGCAATAGATTGAATAAGAAAGTGGATTGGATTCTTCATTGGGAGAGATGAAGGCTGAGAGGAAATATGAATAGAATTTATGATATCTTGAAGGGGTTATTAAAGTGAACAGTGGAAAAAAAAGGCCCACAAAATCTGGAGTGTCAAAATTAAGGAGGCATCCCTTGATATTTGAAAGCATTAGTTTTAAGGCAAATACACAAGCAAGTAGTAAAAAATATGGAATTTAGTTAGCTTAATGGATTGTAAATTTAAATGAGATTAGGAAAGTTAGCTATTTTTAGGGTTATGTCTCATACCTTTTGACATCATGGAGGACAACTATGCCTACCACAAAATATCCTACTGGTGTCACAGAATCTGGGACTAAAATAGGTATCTGATCTGACCCACAATGACTTTTTAATATCCTAAATTCTGTGTCCTATAGGCATACTTCTCTGCTGGATATGAAGGTGGTGTGGATTTCTTACTTTTCATGAGTACTATCTGTAATACTTCCCTACCAGATTCATGTGCATCTATAAAACTGTGAGGTTAAACTATCAGGGTTGGGGAACCTGCTGCCTCAAGGCCACATGTGGCCCCCTAGGTCCTCACGTGAGGCCCTTTAACTGAATCTGGATTTTCACGAATCCGAATTGGATTCAGTCAAAGGGCCACCACCTTGAGGACCTAGAGAGCCACATGTGGCCTTGAGGCTGCAGGTTCCCCACTCCTGGTAGATAATCCAGTTCTCCCTTAGTTAAAAAAGTCTTGTCTTGTTAATAATACACATAGGCGCCCATAAATATTGTGCAAACCCTTGTCTACCTTACCTTTAGTTTTTTGGGTTTTTTTGTTTTGTTTTGGTGAGGCAGCTGGGGAGTCAGCTAGTAAGTGTTGTGTCTGAGGCCAGATTTGAACTCAGGTCCTCCTGACTCCAGGGCTGATGCTCTATCCACTGAGCCACCTAGCTGCCCCCCACCTTACTTCTAGTATTAAAGGTTGAACAGCTCCTATTTTAGAGCATTTGTTTTATTGAAGAATGATTGTGGAAAGATCAGTGGACTCTTTCAGAAAAAAAAAAATCAAAAAATCTAGGCTCTTAATTCCAGTTTTGTCACTAAAGAGCTTTTCCAAGTTGTCCAGCCTTGTTGGGCCTTAGTTTCTTCATCTATAAAATAAAGGGGTTGGGCTAGGTGGGGTTTCTACCAGCTCTGTGATTCTGTTCTAACTAGAGGTGGGAGCCTATGGGCAGTTTTTCCCTTCCAGTTTTTAATTATCATATTTCCTTCCTAGGTGCCTTTTACCTTGTATTTGAATACATGGACCATGACTTAATGGGGCTGCTAGAGTCTGGATTAGTACATTTTTCTGAGGACCACATCAAGTCTTTCATGAAACAGCTAATGGAAGGGTTGGATTATTGTCACAAAAAGAACTTCCTGCATCGGGATATTAAATGTTCCAACATTTTGCTGAACAACAGGTAAAAAAGTAACTTGATTAAAATAAACTTTCTTCCTTTTTTCCCTGCCCCGCTTTATTTTCAAACTAAGTAACATGTTACGTTATATGGCAGTAATTTTATGCAATGCTAGTCTCTGGTATTCAATGGAGGCATGGTAGTAATAGTGGGAAAAACATAAATTGGAGCCAGGAGATCTTGTTTCTATATGATATTGAGCTAGCCATTTAATTTCTATGAACCTCTATATCCTCATTAATAAAATGGATGTAATGCCTATCTTACCAATTTCAAAGGTTTGTGGTGAAGATCAAATGGGATTATATGTAAAAGCACTTTGTAAACTGTTTAAAGTTATATACTGATGTAATACAAATAATATCATGAAATAGTGTTGTTCATCCTTGAAAGGGATTTGCTCTGACCAGCAAAGTCCCCAAATTTAATTTCTTTTTAAGCCCCTATCAGTTAGGATCATGAAGGTGACCTTAATGACATGCATTCCAGAACATAACTTGTTTATTCCTGCTATATGTTGTTTGTTTGTTTTGTAAATAATGCATTTTTTTCCAATTACATGTAAAGATAGTTTTCAACATTCATTTTAATAAGATTTTGAGTTCCAAATTTTTCTCCCTCTGCTCCCCCCTCTCCAAGACAGCAAGCAATCCAGTGTAGGTTATACATGTGCAATCATATCACACATATTTCCACATTAGTCAAGTTGTGAAAGAAAAAACAATAAAGGAAAAAACCGTGAAAACCAAAAAAACCCTCCCAAAAAGTGAAAATAATGTTCTTTGATCTGCATTCAGAGTCATAGTTCTTTCTCTGGATGTGGATAGCATTTTCCATCATGAGTTTTGGAATTGTCTTAAATCATTGTATTGCTGAGAAGAGCTAATTCTATCATAATTCGTTATCACACAATGTTGCTGTTACTGTGTTCGTTGTTCTCCTGGTTCCGCTCACTTTGTTCAGTATCAGTTCATGTAAGTCTTTCCATATTTTTCTGAAATCTGCTTGCTTATCCTTTCTTATAGCACAGTAGTATTTCATTACATTCATATACCACAACTTGTTCAGCCATTCCCCAATTGATGGGCATCCCCTCAATTTCCAATTCTTTGCCACCACATATAGAGCTGCTATAAATATTTTTGTACATGTACATCCTTTTCACTTTTTTATGGTATTTTTGGGATACAGAACCTAGTAGTGGTATTGCTAGATCAAAGAGTATACAGTTTGATTGCCCTTTGGGTGTAGTTTCAAATTGTTCTCCAGAATGGTTGGATTAGTTCACAACTCCACTAACAATGCATTAGTATCCCAACTTTTCCAAATCTTCTCCAATGTTTGTCATTTTCCTCCTGTATAATTAGCCATCTGATAGGTGCGGGATGTTATCTGGTATATATTGTTGAAGGGAATTTTGTTCAGTTGTGGGTAGTCTAAATGATCTGTGGTCCCTTCCAGTTCTTAAAATTCTGTGATTCAGTATCAAATTGCCCAAAAGTGTGCCATTTAGAAACCATTGTAATAGTGACAAAAATGATAATATAGTGCCTGATAGTCTCAGCATAATCATTTTTTTTCACAATATTCTAGGGGTTCAAGTTCTCTTTTTTCTGAACTCCTAAGCAGTTTCCCCATTGCTTAGAGGAAAGAAATCTGCCTGTTGACATTTCCTTAAACCACTTGAAATACTTTTCTTATTCATGTACTCTCAGAGAATTTAGGACTGAGATGGATGTAGTCATTTCTGGATATTATACACACAGTCTGGCAGGAATCTGGTGGTTGGAGAGTTGTAGCTTCCCAGAGTGTTTTTTTTTTTATTTTGTCTGGCTTCTCATAGATAAGCCTACAGTATTGATCTTGGATCACAGACAGTTCTGTGGCAGCAAATCTGCCATCTGAAGAACAAAATATTTATTCTGATACTTGGTTCCTAGATCTTTAGATAACAAAAACTATTGTCACCAGACAGTAATAATAGTTTGACTCTATGATCATTCTATTCACACACAAGTTCTACTAATCTCATTCTAATTAAGTTAAATGATTGTTCCAGTGCTCCATTTTGTAACATAATCTCCTGAGGTTTTGCTGCTGTGCCCAAATTTTATCTACAAAGGGAAACATAAGGCTCTACTGGCATTTCTAGAAGAACAGAGCTATGATTTTTCACCATTTCTCCAAAATGTTTGCCAATATGATACAATGTGGTGGCTCATATATGAAGAAGCAATGATCCTAATCACAATAATAGTTAGAATTTATATAGAACTTTAGAGTTTGCAAAGCACTTTACAGATATCTCATTTTATCCTCACAACAACTCTAGTAGGAAAATGCTGTTGTTATCCCCATTTTTACACATAAGGAAACTGAGACAGAGGTTAAGTGACTTGTCATAAAACTAGTAAGTATCTTAGGCTGAAGTTGAACTCCAGTCTTACTAAATGAAGGGCCAGTATTTTATCTGTTGCACCACCAGCTGCCCATCTTAAGAACAGTACCAGTGCTATGCATGTTATTCTAGGTTCCTGTAATTTCTACCATGGATTTTTGTCTTTTGGGCCCAGCCTTATTGTCAGAGGCCCTAAACATGTGACCCTGTTTTAGGTCTTCTGGGCCTTAAAAATCCTGTCCCAAGACAGGGTAAATTAAATGACTGAAAAGCATTTATTAAGTGCTCACTATGTACAAAATGGTGCTAAGACATGGGAATTAAAGAGGAAAGAGGCTCCTAGTCCCAGGCTGAGCTCAAAACACATTTATACCTACACTTGTTTTTTGTAGGATGTTATTAACTTTAGATTTAAGAAAACAAGGTGACATAGTGGAAGGAATGCTAAATTTGGAATCTAAAGATCTGGATATAAATCTTGTCTCTACTGCTTACTACCTATGTTACCATCAACAAGTTTCTTAATCTGTCTGAGCTTCAGTTTCTTCATATATAAATGAAAGGGTTGGACTAAATAACAGGCTCTTAACCTGGGATCTATAAACTTGTTTTTCATATGAGGCAATTGGCATTAATTGAATTGCCCAGAGTCACACAGCTAGTGAGTGTTATGTGTCCGAGGCTGGATTTGAACCAGATCCTCCTGACTCCAGAGCTGGTGCTGTATCCACTGTACCGCCTAGCTGCCCCTATAAACTTATTTTTAAAAAATATTTCAGATGGCAAAGTGGAGTCATGGGCCTGGGCCTGGAGTCATGAAGACCTGATTTCAAATCTGGCCTTAGATACTAATTATTAGCTATGTGACTCTGAGCAAATCACTTAATTTCTGCGTGCCTCAGTTTCCTCATATGTAAAGTGGGGGGGGGTGTAATAATACCTAGCTATCTCCCAGGGTTTTTATGAGGGTCAAATGGGGTAATCATTGTGAAGCACTTAGCACAGTTCCCAGCACATACTGTATAAATAGTAGCTCTCATTATTTTAATGAAATTATTCTACTTCTATATAATTGGTTTCCTTTAAAATTTCATCTATTTTATGTATTTAAAAGCATTCTGAGGAGTCCATGTGCTTCATCAGACTGCCAAAGGAGATGCAAAGAAAGTATTGGTAGAAATTCCCCACTGGGAGCTCCCAATGCCAGTGAAATCAAAGGTCTGGTCTCTATCCCTATGAAATTCTTTTGTCCAGTTAAAACAACAAAGATTAAAAAATGGTTTAGAAACAGGGCACCCTGCATGGTCCAAGGATATTGACCTCAATGTAATAAAGAATTCTGACTGACAGCAGTACCAGGGAGCTTCTGTAGGAAAAAACAGCTGTTCTCCCTGATGTCAGTTCCAAACACCCACCATATTTTTTAGGAACATGAGATCTTTAATGTTAGAAAGGACTATAGGAATCATTTAGGCCAGAGGTTCTCAGCTTTTGCTAAATGTTTTGGAACTGACATCAGGGAGAATTCCCAGTGAGGAATTTCTACCAGTACAGATTGGCACTTTTTCTGCAACTTACCTAAGTCTCAGAGTTTCATAGCACTGAGAGATTAAATGACTTGCCTGAGGTCATACAGCCAGTGTGTATCAGAGGCAAGACTTGAACTGAAGCCTTCTTAGTTTTAAGGCCTGTTGTCTTGTCAAATACATAACAGTAACTCTCAGTAGGTAAGAGTAAAATGTCTGTTAGAACCATACCTTAGAAGGCTGTAATCAACAAACAAGTAGGGCTCATAGAATCGTAGATCTGGAGCTGGAAGGAATCTAGGGTGCAAAAGAAATCAGACATCATCTCTGCCCTTAAGGAACATAATGATTAGGGAGATAAAGCTAACACTGATGAAACTATTAGAGAAAACTTAACTGTTATATGGTATTAAAAATAACTGTTGGTAGGCAGCTAGGTGGCTCAGTGGTTAGTCAGGAGGACCTGAGTTCAAATCCAGCCTCAGACACATAATACTCACTAGCTGTGTGACTCTGGGCAAGTCACTTAACCCTAATTGCCTCATTAAAAAAAAAAACTGCTCTGAGTTATATATGCCAGGCAGGAAAGATAAAAAGAAAGGCCTCACACACCAGTGTATTGATAAGAGCACTTTTTGTGGTAGCAATGGACAGTAAATAGTTCTTTGTATGTTGCCCATATAATATAATCCTTACTATAATGCCCATCCACTGGTAAATGAATGGCTGAACAAGGTCTGGTGCATGATTGTAATGGAATAATGCTGCCCTATGACAAACAGTGACTATAGACAAAGACAGAAGAGCATTAGAAGACTAATGGACTGATGCAAAGTGCTTTAAGCAGAACTAAGAAAATAATATACACAATGACTACAATATTGTAGTTGGAAAGAACAACCACAGAAACATTGAAACTGAATATTGTAAAGCTATAATGACAGGAAGTCAGGAAGACCTAAGTTCAAATCCAGCCTCAGACCAAACACTTGACACTACCTGTGTGACCCTGGCAAGTCATTTAACCCCAATTGCCTTTTAAAAAAAAAAAGTTAAGTTATAATGACCAGTCATAGCCCCTAAGAGATATGAGAAGACATCTTCCACATAAGTAGGAGACTATGGATGTGGAACAGTGTGTATATTCTTTTCTTTTTCTTTTTTTTACATTGTGTATATTGTTAATCTTTTTCAATGTGTCGGTTAGTTTTGCTGAACATTAACATTTTATTATAAGGAGGGAGATATAGGGAAATACAAGTGATATAAAAAATAATAAAATTTTAAAAAATAACCCCCAAAGAGGCAGCAAATCAGTATGGGCTGGAGTAGTCAGAACAGCTTTAGCCTGAAAAGAAAACTCCAGGAGGCAGAGAATTGTGGAGACAGGTGACATTCATCATTGTTCTTCCCTTCCTTTCTACTCTCTCAGGACTCCCAGATAGTTAGGATTAAGGGCATATTTTCCACAACTGATGTAATGTCTGGCTTTCAGAAGTGATATTATTTCAGATATGGCATGAGGGCCACAGCTGTCATTGAAAATTAAAACAATTGTTTGTTTATTTTCCAGTGGACAGATCAAGCTGGCAGATTTTGGACTTGCTCGACTCTATAGCTCTGAAGAGAGGTGAGGTGCCCATCAAGTAAAATTATACTGAATTATGAATTAGTCCTCATTTTTTGATGCTTTACCTATAAGCTTCAGAAATTGTCAGAGTTCTTCTATTAACTGAATGTGTTACAGTTGTTGGTAGGCAGATTTAAATACTATAAGATGATATAAGTTAGTCAGCCTGTTTATTTATTTAAACAACTCAACCAGAGATTGAGTTGGAATGGAAATCTTTACTTTCCTTCTCTCTTCTCTCATGTTTATGTTATTTTGTATTTGTCTGTTGTTATTTAAAGGAGCTACTTTAATAATCCCAAATGCAATAGAAAATCAAGAGTAGTTATTACTATCTTCATTTATTTGTCCAACTGGTTTAAATTTGTTGCTGGTGTAAAAAGTATGGTTCTTTTTTATGTTTCAGTCGTCCTTACACAAATAAAGTCATTACGCTATGGTATCGACCACCAGAACTGCTGCTAGGAGAGGAGCGCTACACGCCAGCCATTGATGTTTGGAGTTGTGGGTAAGGACAAATCCTGAAGTCTAAGGAGTTGAATATTCATCTCTGTTTTCTCTCATCACCCCAAATTTAAGGTGGCCATCTTGTGCTGATTATAGCTCATTTACTATTGGTGTAGATCTTTATTCCCCATTTGTAATCTTCCTGCATTTCTGGCTTTTGGGATAGGGAGAAATGAATATAAAATTATTGGCAAAATCCCAGAAAATTCTGCTGCTCATTGAGTGATTTTTTCCCAAGGCTTAAACACAAACAGGCCCTGTACTATTTCATGAGGCTTACTAAATAATGTAGGATTTTACTACATATTCTCTTATTGCCCACCATGTTACCCCTGCTCCCATACATAGTTTCCAGTATAGTGTAACAGCTTGCTCTATTTCACCTCGGTGAAAATGCCACTATCTTAAAAAGATGCACTGCAGGATTTACTCTCCAGATTCAAGAAGGGTGATGAAAGAAAAGCACAGCAACTGTTGTAGCCTACCAAAATCAAATGTAGCTTTAGTTAAATTTTAGTGACTCAAGCTGGGTGTGTTTGTGTTCTGGACTATTTGCTTTAATAGTATTAGCATTTAAATTGTCACAACTAGGCTCTAAAGTTAACGCCCCATTAAGATGCTTGGGGGAAGTTCATAGCTCTTCTGCTACTGTTATTTCGGTCTGTGCAACCTGCATCTTCAGTGCTGTGGCAGGGTGTTGATTACATAATGAAGATGTCTTCCCTACCAAGAGGCTGGAAACAACATTTAAAATGAATGTAACAGAAATACCTAGACACCTCAGTAAACTAGGATCTCTGAATCAGTAAATTTAAATTTTACTTGGCTTTCATAAGTTTCAGTATGTTTTTCTATACTGAAAACTTCTTATTGATCCATAGTAACCATAGAGGAAGACTGAATCATTGGAGAACTTCCCTTCAGAGATTTGTGAACTAGAGCTGTTCAGTTTACAACTCACAGGAGAACTTGAGTGGCTGGCATGGCATCCACCTGGAGTCTGAAAATCCAGCTGTGTTCTTTCTGCCTCTTATGTCACCACCTATTATTACAATACTAAAGTTTAGAAGTTAGTTGATGATTTGATAGTCAATGCAAGATTTAGAATTAAATTCAGCTTTGGAGTCCTTTAGTAATATCAGCTTTTTGTGACTATTGGGAATAAAAATTTGTTCATCATTTGAAATCAGCAGGCACACTTTAGAAACCCACTAAGTACTGTGCTAAATAGGAAGGTGCTGTTTATTTAAGCCGTCAGGATTTTCCTTCTTGATTTCAGTGAAGCCAAAGAAATGCAGAATTTAAAGATAAAATTTTTTTATTTTTGGTTTTGCATCAACACTTTCATACAACTTTACCAAAGCATAGACTAGAACAGAAACTTTTCCTCTGTACACGAAAATGGCAATTTTTATAGGCACACTTCATTTGAAAACCCTTTCTATTTAAATCACTACCAGCTGATAAAAAGAAAACCCTTTATTTGCAAACATAGTGCCAAGATAGCTGCAGTGTAATATACACACACACACACACACACACACATATATATATATATATATTTTTTTTTTTTTGCTTTTTGGTGAGGCAGTTGGGGTTAAGTGACTTGCCCAGAGTCACACAGCTAGTGAGTGTTTATGTGTCTGAGGCTGGATTTGAACTCAGGTCCTCCTGACTCCAGGGCCAATGCTCTATCCACTGTGCCACCTAGCTGCCCCTGTAATATACTTCCTATAGATCAGTTGAATGAAAAGAGCTATATCAACCTTTTAGTAAAAAATATTTTATTGGAGCTTTTTTGAGGCAACAGTTATTCCCAATGTGCCCCACTCACCAATAGAAATATAACAAAGAAAAACAGTTAATTCAAACCCAATAATATAGTGATAACATCTGAAAATATTCCATTCCTATAATCTGTTACTTCTGTCATCATTTAACAATATGATTTTTAGTGTTTGGTTACTTTCTTTATTTACACTAAAGTATATAGGGGAGATAGTTTTCATTTATGATCACCTTTTCTTGGGTTGTTTTAAATTGTCTTCCTGATTCCTTGCTTCTGGCCCTAGCCATTTTTTGTCCAAAGAAGTCTACTTCCTCACTATCCACTGGAGCCTGAACCCTTTGCAGTCTTAATTTTAAAATTAAATATCCTTACCCTGTTTCCTCCATACGTTCTTCCTTCATCTCGTTAACTTCCGTGGATGAAATGATCACTTCTTTGCAGGTTACTCCCAAATCTATCTCTCTGATCCTTAACTTCTTTTCTGAGTGCCAGCCTCCTGTTTCCAGCTGTGTAATGAACATCATATGAATGTTGCACTAGCATCTCCAACTTAATGCCCGAAAATGATTTGTCTGCTACTCTTGCCCACCTTGAACTGCTCCCAAACCTGCTCCTCACTCTGACTTCCCTATTTCCATTTATGGCATCATTGTGTTCTATTTGCCCTTGCCTTAAAACCTTGGCATTATCTTTACTGTCCTCCTTTTACCAAGTCTTACTGATTCTTCCTTTTCTATATCTCTTTGCATTCAGCACCTCCTTTTTCATTCCTTCCACCAGCATTCTGGTTCAGTCAACAATCTTTTTTTTTTTAAAGCACCTATTATGTGCCAGGAACTGGAGTTGTAAATACAAAGGATCAAACAGTCTCTACTCTCAGGGGGCTTATATTAAAATCTTTATTATGTGGACTACTAGCTATCTAACTGGTTTCCCTGTCATTATTCATCACCTTTCTAGTTCATCCGGTACTTTTCCACAGGAAAAACCTTGGGGAGGTGGCGGGGGGGGGGAACGGACGGGGACGCTATTGTATAAAGTTCAAAACGTGGTCCAATAGTTAAGGCTTTTTTCTTAATCACTTTTAACACATTCTGCTTTGTATTATAAATAGTTGTGTGCTTCTTATTTATTCTGTTAAATTGTAAACTACTGGAGTATAAGAGCCATGTCTTATTTATGTACATAACACACTGTGTTTAGCATACTGCCTTGCACATAGTAGGTATTTACTAAATGTTTGAATAAAAATGGTCTAGCAGTAGCTGATTCATTTAAGCTGTGCAGAGCAGTGGCATTCATCATGCTAAACTGGATTTGATACATTGGTTAATCTGTATGTAGTTTTGATCCTGGTCCTAGCTGCCAGAAATTTGTTATTCCTTTAGGAAACCCAGGCTGTCCCTTGGTACTGTGAAGCAAAGTTTACCAAGATACTGTTTAAATTGGTTTTAGCATTTACTCTCCTGACCTCTTACTTTTATTCTTCCTAGTTGTATCCTTGGGGAACTGTTTACAAAGAAGCCTATTTTTCAAGCTAATCTGGAACTGGCTCAGCTTGAACTAATCAGGTAAAACAGTGGTGGGAGGGAAGGAAGGAAGGTGTATGTGTACAAATGCGTTCCTTGGTGTGAGAGTTAATCTGTTCTTCTAAAATCCATTTGTGTCACAAGTTACCAGTTGTTTTAGCCACATCATTAATGGTTACATCTTACTGTATGTCAAAGGCTTTGGGACATTCTACACAAAGTGTTGTTTCTGATCCCCCTAATTAGTTTTATAAAGTAATGTTGTGGTAATATAAAGAAATACATCTTACCAAGCTTTGTGGTTTAGGAGATCTTCTGTCTTACACAGATGATGCCTTGAGCAGATAATTGTGTGCTGATTTAGGAGATGGCGGTGAGATTCTTGAGAGGCTAAATTTAAATTTAAGACAACGTTGCTATAATGAGGGAGCTTAAGTTTTGATCTCCAACCAAAAGCTGACTGAAATTTTATCAGACTTCATCTATTATAGATGTAAAAAGATAGTTCTACCCTGCTTATTTGTGATAGTCAACATCCTTGGTTACCCAAAGCATCATTTTTCCCTTGCCTCAGGTTGACTTCTTGACGTCCAGTATACTTTAGGATCCATCTCAGCTGGTTGACATAGGTTGTAATTTGTTGTTTTTCAGCTGTTTCAGTCATGTCCAATTCTTTGTGACTTCATTTGGGGTTTTCTTGGCAAAGATACTGGAGTGGTTTGCCATTTCCTTCTCCAGCTCATTTTACAGATGAGAAAACTGAGGCAAACAGGATTAAGTAATTTGTTCTGGGTCACATAGCTAGTAAGTGTCTGAGGCCAGATTTGAACTCAGGAATATGAGTCTTCCTGACTCTAAGCCTAGTGCTCTATCCACTATGACACCTAGCAGCCCATTAGTTGTAGTTTAGGAAATGTAAATTAATGTTAATATCTAATCAAAACCAAAGGAAGAAGATAAGTCTGCTCAGAGTAAGGGAGGGGAATATAATTCATTACAAAAGGAAATGTGTCTGTATTTCGTACTATTTTTTTTTTAAGGCAGTCAGGGTTAAGTGACTTGCTCAGGGTCACACAGTTAGTAAGTGTCAAGTATTTGGTCTGAGATCAGATTTGAACTCAGGTACTCCTGACTTTAGGGCCGGTGCTCTATCCACTGCGCCACCTAGCTGCCCCTATTTCCTACTATTGTTAACAGGATAATTGAAATCTGCTATGAAAATCAAGACGCTCACAAATAAAGTGGATATTGTTATTACCATACTATGAAAATTAAAGCATATGTCCTTTCTTTTCTATTAATCATCAGTAAACTACAAAAGTGAAAAAGCTACTGCCAGTCTCAGTCACAATATTTATGCTGGTGTACTTCTCTCCCCTGCCCTCTGAAATATTTTTGGAGAAGGGGGAGGAAGGGATATCTCTTGGAAAGTAAAGGACATCTCAAAATCTCATCTTTCCAATTTGCCCTTGAACTGAATCTTATCAAGATGCCCAGAACCTCAGGAGGTAGTAGTTATGTGTCTGGATTTTTCAAAACATATGGCTGACTCACTCTTTTGAATGTTTTCTGTTTTGCTTCTAGTCGGCTCTGCGGCAGCCCTTGTCCAGCTGTGTGGCCTGATGTTATTAAGCTACCTTATTTCAACACAATGAAACCGAAAAAGCAGTACCGTAGGCGTCTACGTGAGGAATTCTCTTTGTGAGTTTGACGGAAGTGGGCAACTTGTAGTTGTAGCATAACCTCAGCTACTCTTAGTATATAGTATAATATAGTGTTCTGCTTTCTTAAATATATAACTGTTTATCTCCTCAGTGATTTCATACTACCCATTATCATATAATTTTTTTTTATCTTTGAACCATATTTCAAGGGATTCAGTTATTAATGTGTATTTTCACAGACATTTAATGGGCATATTACTATACTAGCATTACTGTCATATTAATCATTCCTGCAACACAGAATTGGTAGCATTTTTGTTTGTAAAATAAACACTATTTTGAAATTTTTCCTAAATTCACCTTAGTTCTTGACACATTAATATATATTTCTTTTTTTTAATGCATACAGTGTGTCTGGCACTGTGCTAAGCATTTTATAAATATTATCTCAATTGATAGTCACAACAATCCTGATAGGTAGGGGCTATTATCTTTATTTTAGATTTAATATATATTTCTGTATCATAGTGTTTTTAAATTCTTTACACAATCATGTCTCTATATGAGTTGCCTAAACTATTCTTAACTATTCCTTACAGTATCCAAAAAGTATGTTACTATTACTGTTTTCTCCTCACTGTATATGAAACTAATAATTCTAAGACCTTCTAATAGAAGGCTGCAGCTTTGAAAACAGTCTGGTTGCTTGAGACTGACCCTTTTTTTTTTTGTCTCCTTTTACAGTATTCCTTTGGCTGCTCTAGACTTGCTCGACCACATGCTGACACTGGATCCTAACAAGCGCTGCACTGCTGAGCAGGCCCTGCAGAGTGACTTTCTTAGAGACGTCGAGCTCAGCAAAATGGCTCCTCCAGAGTAAGTGCCCCTGCTCCTTTCCCCAGATGATGTGGGACTGAGAATCATTTTTGTATAAAGTTCTGAAGATGGGAACAGTATTCTTGGAGAAATCAAGTAGCTTATAATGTCCCAACAAGAAAGATAACTGAATTCGAAAGTTACAGAGACGTGAGGGTAGATATGTTTGTTTTAGCTAAATTTGACTTGTTTCCTTTTTGTGTTAGATCCCCGGGCATATTATTCAACTTCTTTCTCTTCTGAGTGTCCACTTTCATTTTTTCTTCCTAATTATTCCCTCTTCCTGCCCCAAACCGAAAGGGAGTGAAGCCTATAGAGTGAAGGGCTTGGAGTCAGGAAGCACCAAGTTCCCACCTCTGCCCTTGGAGTTCAATAGCCTTATGACTATGGGCAAGTCACATAACTTCTTTGAGCATCCAGAAGCTTTCTAGGACTTTATCTACTAAGTTATAAAAGGATGGCAATCTATATTGGGGTGCCATTGAAGAAATCACAGATCCTTGATGTAATGATGTCACTCTTTCCCTGCCTTAATTTGTATTGTGTCTCTCCCTTCTCTAGTGTCTTCTGAGAACCTCGACATGATTGACTCTGGAGTCAGAGGACCTGGGTTCAAATCCCACCTCTAACACTACCTGTGTGACCTTGGGCAAGTCACATAATGTCCCTAGGCCTCAGTTCCCTAATCTGTAAAATAAATGGGTTGGGCTAGATGGCCTCTGATATCTCTTCCAGCTCTAAATATATAATACTTTGAATTGTAGAGAAACCCCAGGGGCTCCTATACTCCAAGGAGTAGTGATAGGTGCTCTCTATTAGCCAGGAGAGCTGACAGACAGATAGCAAGTCCTTTGGTGTTTGGACTTGTCACAAAATTTTTTCAAATTTTTTAGTATTTCACTTCCTTGAGTGGGGTAGAAAAATGTGTTGAGGGAAAGAAATGTGTAAGATATATGTGAAGTCAGTAATTAATATGTTAGATCCTTTTTGCTGTAGCTCTAAGAGACTTTCCAAATTCTTTTCTTGTTCTAGAATTTTGTAACATTGAATATTCTTTGAAATAAGTGGGTTATGCACTGAGATTTGCTGATATCTTTGTTTTACAAAGATTTTTTATATAGTATATCATAATGAGACTCAGTGCAGAAGATGTTCACAATGTTGTATAAAAAGGTGACTGAAAATACCAAATATTATAAAATATTGAATCTCATAAATAAAGAAAGTGATAGTGTTTTCTTGAGGAGATAGGACATGGGTAAAAACAGAAGAGTACCTTTTCTTTTTTCTTTCATTCTTTTTTTTTGCCCTCCCAAACCAACATTGAGAAGCATTTCCAAAATAATATATTACTGGGTTTTTGATATGCTTTGCAAATAGTCATAGGTCAGTCTTCTCTGTACTAAAATTGAACAGACCTTCTTTTATGGTAGTAAAAGTTCTTAGTCAAGTAAGGGGAGTCATGTGGTTTTTGTTTGCTTTTTTTTTTTTGGTGAGGCATTTAGGGTTAAGTGACTTGCCCAGAGTCACACAGCTATTGAGTGTTATGTATCTGAAGCTGGATTTGAACTCAGGTCTTCCTGACTCCAGCCAGTGCTCTATCCACTGAGCCACCTAGGTGCCCCAAGTCATGTGTTTTAAAACTATGAATGGGATCTGTACGTTGAAATACAAAATTTGGTCTTTAGTACTAGAAATACCTTCATTCCTGGTTTTAGGAAGTTCTCCCTCGCTTTGTGTTCTCATCAACTAAGGCTTATCATAAAACCTAGCCATTTTTAATGGAGGCAGCATGGATTGTGATGTGTTGGATTTATGGTGAATACCTGTGTTTGAATTATGGCTCTGCCACTTACTATCTTTGCAACTTTGAGCAAATTACTTCACTTCTCTGGATCTCAGTTTATTTGTCTGTAAAATAAAGAGTTTGGAATAAGTGGTCTTTAAAGTCTCTTCCAGCTCTAAATCTTATATTACTAGGTTGTCTATCCAGACTAGAGCCTAGATATCTTCCATTCATTTTCCTGGTCAATATCTGTGTATTTTCCTTTTTGCTTTTGGCTTTCTTTCCCCAATGCCTTTTCCTCACTCCCTATCACACTCCCACACACATTTCCTCTTGCCTTTTTCCAGCCTCCCTCATTGGCAGGATTGCCACGAACTATGGAGCAAGAAACGACGGCGACAGAGGCAAAGTGGCATTGTGGTGGAGGAACCGCCTCTGTCCAAAACCTCTCGAAAAGAAACTACCTCAGGAGCAAATGTGGAGCCTGTGAAGAACAACAGCCCAGCACCACCCCAGCCTGCTCCTGTCAAGGTGGAACCTGGGGCTGGGGATGCAATAGGTCAGTGTTGGGAATAGAGGCTTTTTTGTTTGTTAGGAGTACCATTCTGATGAGAGCTGCTATTAAAAGATCATGCAAAAATCATGGTACTTGACGTTTAAACCTCTTCCATTGAAGCATTAATAAAAATGTGGTATCTATCTTAGCAAGAGACAGTGATACACAGCCTTATGCATTTAGGCTAGGGAGAGCTAAAACATTATTTTCTTTACTAAGTTTAAAGAAACTGAGCTAACTCTATTCTATTACCTAAGTGCTTAATAATTTATTTTTCACAAATCAGACTAGGTAAACCAAATTGGCCTAGTACTCACACCAACTTTAACATAATCTACCACATACTGTGAAACCCTTGATATCAAGCGAATGGTTCTTATGAAAACTGACCATGTGGTTTTTTTGCTGTATGTGTCTGAGATATTCACTGAGTTGAGTATATCCAAATATGTCTAATAAGCTGTTATAACAAGGTCTTGCTATAATAGCAACTTTTCCTAGATAACAAATATTATTTTTCCAACCTTCCTCACCAATCTTGTTTCTGCCTGGAGTCATACAGTTTGTAAAGTAAATTAAATCAACATTTTAAACTACTCATCTGGCATAAAATAACAGTTCAGAGTAAGTGGACTTTTAAAAAGTTGCTTTAGTGTGTCTAGGTGCTTTCAAGTATACCAAATAACAGTTATCATGGGAAGTGGGTACATAGAGTTAGATTTTCAATTCAAAGTGTCTTCTGGAATGGAAGAGACTTGGTTTTGCCATTTCAGGAGGGTTAACCCCTCTTTTCTGCCTCCTCTTTCTGTGATGGCTCCACTGTCTCTCCATAGGCCTTGGTGACATCACACAGCAGCTGAATCAAAGTGAACTGGCAGTATTATTGAACCTGCTGCAGAGCCAGACTGACCTGAGCATCCCTCAGATGGCACAGCTGCTCAATGTCCATTCCAACCCAGAGATGCAACAGCAGCTAGAGGCCCTGAACCAGTCCATCAATGCTCTCAATGAAGCCACTTCCCAGCATCAGGACTCCGAGCATGTGGCCCCAGAGGAGACTGTGAAGGAGCCCCCCCCTGCCATGGTAGCCCAACCCTCAGCAGAGCAGACAACCCCTGAAGCATCTAGCACACCAGGTGACGTACAGAATGTGTTGGCAGTCCTCCTAAGTCAGCTGATGAAAACCCAGGAACCAACAGGCAGCCTCGAGGAAAGCAATGGAGAAAAGAGCAGTGGGCCACAGGGACCCCGAAGAACTCCCACAATACCACAGGAGGAGGCAGCAGGTAAACAGACCAGTCATGAATCTCATTGAGCTCAGGTGCTGTTGCCCTCTTAAAAAAAAAAAATCTCTTACCATTTTCTTTTTCACAATGGCTTTGGGTTTGGTTTTTTTTCTATACCTATCTACAGAGGAATCTAGCACCAATGGCATTCTGCTTCCCCATCCACTTTCATCCCAAACTTGCAAAGCCTCTCAAAAAATACTTTGTACATACTTTTTGCAACCCCCAGGAAGTAGGTAAGTAGAATCCTTAAGATGTATTTAAGCAAAGAAATGGCAACTGTAGCTGATGATTCATCTTGTACCACCATATATGTAGTTGCCAAACCAGACCTAGCACCTGAAAATTCTGACTTCCAAATCTCTGGGCCACTACCACATTTTATTTATGTGCCTGTAATGTATTGAAGTTGTTGGATACCACACTGTTTACCTGTAAGATAAAAGAACAAGGAAAATCAGAGCCATTTTGGAATGTTTCTTAATTAGACAATTCATACCATGCATTTCCTTCACCAAAAATAGTACATATAAACTTCATTATTTTAAGCTTCCACCTTTGCAATGGATAATGCAAAGGGTCCCTAGAAGGATCTAAGCCTTGTTTCAAGATAAAAGAAAAGGAACCTAGCACTCTCACTTACTCAGATCATCCCAGAATGTGATTTTGGGTAATGGAGGAGGATGTTTGAATTGGTTTTGTGGTAATGTTTTCAACTTCCCAGCAGTTCAGTTATCCATTTAGACCCCAGAATTTGAGGAAGCACAAGGATTCAATTCACTAGCCTTTCTGATTTAGGCTTCTGATTTCAGATTTCATGGTCTGTGATTTGGGATGTGTGTACCTGATCTTCACATACATATACATACACTACAGAAAAGCACCAGCATGAGCCAGTTAGAAATCTTTAGACTTTGAGACTTTACAGTTAAGTTCATCCCCTCATTTTATAGTGGAAAAAATAGACCCAGAGTGGCTTGCCCAAGATCACACAGATAGTTAGTAGCAGAGCCAAGACAAGAACCAGTGATTCCGGTGTTGCTTTAATCAAAAGAAAATAAAATTAAGAGGTCTTCACTCCATGGGATAGTGAAGAAAGCTAATACAATGCCTGTCTTCCTAATACACACATACCCTCAATTCTAATTAAAATTGTTGGAATGGGAAGTATGTTCCATTTTAAATAACACACATTGATGGAAACCCACCTGATAATTAAGCCAACAAGCAATCCACCAAATGGTCAAATTGTGAGTTAAAATTAAGTCCTGGCTTATAGCCATAACTTGATGGATTTGCTCTCAGAGGTGATTGTAAGTGCCACCTCGATAATTACTGTACCTACCATTGGATAATCCAGTTGGTGTCTTAACCATGTCTCTCCCTTCTTGTCTCCCTCCTGCTGCCTTTCATTTGAGCTGTTTTGCTGTTTGTTAACGTTTCCAGCAGAGGGCAAGCTGGGGATGTCAGAGACGGTGAAAGGCTGTCAACTTAGCTACTGTTTAGCTGCTCTGTAATTGCTGAGTAAAGTTTTTAAATCATCTGTGTATTTTGTTACTGCACAGATCACTAATAATTGACAGTGCTATCAACCCCTCAAATTCTTTAGCCGTGTAATATGTAAAAATGTTATCTTTATTTTTAATCGTCTCAAAGAACCTTATTAGACTTACTAATGATTATTTACAATCCCACCACATTACTGCTTCCCAGTAGAGTGTTTTCTTCTCTTCATGCACATGAAAAACAGAAAAAAAGTGTTTGATCTCAAGAAATAGCATTATAAGTCTGGGTCATTTGCATGAAAGATAAAATTTAATTGTGAAAAGAAGTACAACTGAGGGAATTTAAATTTAGTTTTACCTTCCTTTACAGTTACAAGTTTTCAGAGTAATTTAACCCCTGAATTAAAATATTTGATCTTTAACACATGGTCCGAAAAATGTTTATGACTGACACTGTGGACTTTTAAAGATAGATAGATAGATAGTTGATGGGACTACATGTATATACTTTTTAATATGTGGCTTTTCCATGGCTAGGTATGGTTTTTGGGGTTTGGGTTTTATTTATTTTTTTTTAATCCCTGCCACCTAGTAATCAATCAACCAGCCAATCATTGAGTATTTATAAAGTGCCTACTCTGTGCTTGGCATCTAAGCACTATGCTAATTCTGCTCCTTCCATTTGCCCAATCCAACCTTGCATATAGATATAGATAGTGTTTTTAATTTTTCAAAGTGCTTTCACATATGTGCTCAGGGAATTCAGATTTATTTTAGTAGTGGCCTTGCCAAATATAAATAAAACCCACAATGTATCCTAAAGCCGAATAAAAACTAATTTTGGTTTTTCTGTGCAACTGCCGTCCTCTAGTAACCCAGATAATCAAGAGTTGACTGTATAAGAATCCATACATATACTTTCAGTGGTAACAGACAGGAACATTTGGTTATTTGAAAGATAACACCATTACAAAGCATTAAACCTTTCTTGTCAGTGTGGTGGCCCCCAGAATTCCAAAGGCCCTATTCATAGCACCATAGCAACTTTACTCACACTACTTTCAGTGTTTACCAACTGAAGATATTTTATATCACCCCACACTGGGTCCAGAGAAATTCATTATGAGATACTAGTTGCTGTGGCCAAGCAAACTGGGCTGACATTTGCGGGGTGGGGGGAGGTGCTGAGACTAATCTGAGGAAAACAGTGATATTTAGAGCTGCAAGCCCACGGTATTAACTTATCTCTTCTGTAAACACTTAGCATTCATCATCATTGTGATAAATAAATTTTTTTCGAGAGCCCAGTGGGTGCATGACACTGTACATGGCACTATCACATTGTGCTTACTAGGGAAAAAGTGGTGCACGTAGGGAAACAGAAGGTGATTCTTTGTAATTTGTCATTAAAAAGTGGACAGTATCCTTTTATCATAAAATGGGATGCTGAATGTGAATGGGACAATAAATCTTTAGGATATCCCATTTCTTTGAAACATGAAAATGACAAGTGGGGAATACAGGCGTGGATTTCCTGAATTTTCAAAAATAAAAGGTTTGCCAGTTCAATACAACTATCCTGTGCACTCTTAGCATCTATTTCAGGTTAATATTGTATCATCAAACTTTCTGTACAGAAGATTCTTCCCTAGATTTGAAAATCAAATGTGTTTTCCCTCCTCATTTTTCCTATTCTTGCTTTTTAAAAAAAAAATTAACATTTGATCCAACAGCTTAAATTGGGCTACCAGGGGCCTGCAAGAAGACTATCCCTTGAGAAAAAAGGCGGGGAGGGGGGGGTCTGCTTCCAAAGGAGAACCAGGAAAATGCCTTGAAGTTTAATAATTTATGCCAGTCTGTAGATGTAGCATGCGACTGTTTTACTTATCTTTTTAAATTATTTTCCATACAAGTTTCATTTTTCTAATCCCAAGAGTTGATTTTTTTCCACTTCTGGGTTGCTTGTATAGGTGTGTGGGTGTATATTTGTGTATGCGTGCACGTATGTGTGTATAATCACATGATTTTAAAGATGGTGTTTAAAAGAAGTAACCCTTCCACAGCATGTCCTCCTCACATTCTTCCACCAGAGAAGAGACCCCCTGAACCCCCTGGACCTCCACCGCCGCCACCTCCACCCCCTCTGGTTGAAGGCGATCTTTCCAGCGCCCCCCAAGAGTTGAACCCAGCTATGACAGCCGCTCTACTACAGCTTTTGTCCCAGTCTGAAACGGAATCTTCTGGCCACCTGCCACATGAGCACCAGGCATTGAGACCTATGGAATATTCTACCAGACCCCATCCAAGCAGGACTTACGGAGGCACTGAGGGGCCTGAAACAGGGTTCAGTGCTACTGACACTGATGAGCGCAGTTCCGGCCCAGCCTTGTCAGAACCTTTGGCCCAGACCCTGGCGAAGAGCAGGACTTTCTCAGGCTCTGTGAGCCATCTTGGGGAGTCGAGCAGTTACCAGGGCACAGGGTCAGTGCAGTTCCCAGGGGACCAGGACCTCCGATTTGCCAGGGTCCCCTTAGCATTACATTCAGTGGTCGGGCAGCCATTCCTGAAAGCCGAGGGAAGCAACAATACAGTGGTCCACACAGAGGCCAAATTGCAAAACTATGGGGAACTTGGGCCAGGGGCCACTGGGGCCAGTGGTTCAGGAGCCAGCCTTAACTGGGGAGCCCAGGCACAGGCTACTGCTTATGGAAAGCTCTATCGGGGGTCTGGGAGAGTCCCACCAAGAGGGGGAAGAGGGAGAGGAGTTCCTTATTAACCAAGAGACTGGTTTCCTGAAAGACTCCTTCCCTTTCCATCCCTTCTTTCTCTCCTCTGAACCTTTTAATGAAATCGTTTGCCAGATTGAGGTAATCGTCTGCATTTGGCTACTACAAAGCTGTTTGTCTTATTCCTTGCTCAGTTGCTGCTAGCGGGAGTTCTACATAGTACGGATGTGGGCATTTTGCTAGCCAGACCCCCTTTACTGGGCTGAGGCCAGAGTATGAACAACTTCAGCCCTAGCTGGCAGATGCTGGTGAAAGGGTTTGGAAAGGGTCATTAAATTGGAAACGAAATGTTTTAGCAGCTCAGAACCTGCCTTACTTGGGCAGGAAAGAGAAAAAATAGTTACAGCTCTGAGGCAAAAATCAGAGAGGAGGCTCTTTTGTTTTTGTTCCCTCCACCCTTCTACCTCTTAAGTGATTTCCCCCCCAGTCTTCTATTTTATAATTTCAAAAAATAAAGTTCAGAAAATTCAGTCTTCTGCATTGAGCAAAACTGAGAATGCATTGGCTGGGTTTAAGAAAATGCACCCTCCCATCTGCCACCCCAACTTTTTGCTTTTAAGTGAATCTCTTTTTCTGTTAAGCTGCTAGACATCTCTCTCTTTTTCTGATAAATTTTCTGTCCCCAAAATTTGTTCCATGTATGCCTTCTCTCCCTGCATCTGAAGCAGGTTGCAGAATGTGATAGTCTTGGGCAAATGTGGACTTTTTC